TATGAGCACACAGTGAGTGTGCAGTGACCTCACATTGTGACCACAGTATGAGTGTGCAGTGAGTGTGCAGTGACCTCACATTGTTACTTTTGAAATATGGATATTGTTCTTACAAAAACGCATGGATTCGCTACAGAAGGCCTTTATTCAGCCCCTGGAGCCGTGTGAGGCACGTTTTATTATGAATGCGCGCGCTTTATTTGACGACTTGTGGACTGTTCAACTGCAACACCCGCTGACTGCAATGATAGAGCTTGGAAGAGCCAGGACAATTTTTAATATAACTCCGACTGGATTCGTCTGAAAGAAGAAAGTCATATACACCTAGGATGCCTCGAGGGTGAGTAAAACACAAGCCAATTTTCATTTTTGGGTGAACTAACCCTTTAATAAATTAACTGAATCATGTTCTTACACCTCCTACACTTAAAAATAAAGTTTTTTTTTTGGCATCTATGGTTCCATGAAGAACCTTTAAAATCCACAGAACATTTCCACTGCACAAAAGGTTCTTTTTGTGCAGTATTAAAATGTTCTTCACGCTAAGAAAAATGATTCTTTTAAGAACTGTTCCCTGAAAGGTTCTTTTTGGAACCCCAAAATCCCCCTTTTGGAAGCTTTATTTTTAAGAGTGTCCGACTCCTAACAATCCTTTTTTGCCTATATGAATGATGTATATGTAGATGTTTTAGAAACAACTAGAGCACAAGTGGACTACTTTGGGGAGAGCTCTACACTTTATGTGTGACGTCGGCTCTTACTCGATCTTCTGTTGAGTTGGTTCTCTCTGTAGAGACGATGGACGCGCTCCACCAGCTCCCATTTCTCACAGCAGCCTGAATAGTTGACGAAGTTGCGGGCGAGAATCTCCTTCAGCTGCCGCACTGTCAGGCTCTTGATGTCGTCCTCGCGGGACAGATCCGAGAGGGAGGCACGTGCTCGCCTCTGCGTCGCTGGGCTGGCCTGCTCGGGGACAGACATCAAGAGACACGTGGACGGATGGGTTTTAGCATTTCACTGCAGTCCACGTTGATATTCCACCAGACTGCTCATTTTGAACTCTGTAGATGTTCTTCTGAAGTATTTGCCAAACACTAAGCAGATTTATCGGATGGCACTGAATTATTAATGTTAATGGTTGCTCAGTGAGAATAGAGGGGTTTTAAAGTAACCCAGTCGTCTTCACAGTAGGTGGCACAAACACTCGACGCATGCAGATTTTGTCAGGTTTGTCTCACCTCCAGTATGTCGTCGTGAGGCTCCAGGTTGAGGAGGGAAACTGATGTAGCATCTCCATGGTCCTGAAGATAAAACACAGAAATCAAGAACTTGTATCAGATTATAGACTAGAACCTGATTAAAATCAGAATGTGAGTTCAGACTGAGCCGTGCTGTGAGTTCAGATCCCATCTTCTTTTCACTTTAGTGTTCGTATTTATTTATTAAAATTTTTGATAGGACAGTGTAGAGAGTGGAGAGAGAAAGAGAGGGGGACGGGATCGGGAAAGGTCCACGAGCCGGGACTCGAATGATACATAAAATCTTTTTTTAGAATTAATGAATTTATTTATTTAAACACAGCAACACATGTTAATTAATCAAAATAAACATAAAAAATAAACATGAATAAATATAAAATATAAAATTAATTATATAAAATTATTATATAAAATATAATCAAATATAGTTAAACAGTAATATTGTAAAAAAAAAAAAAAAAAAATATAATAAAAATACCCAGTGTGTTAAGAAAATAAAGGCTATACATTAC